ATTGTATAGATATACCACATCTCCTTTATCTAGTCATCTGTCAATGGACATTTAGGTTGTTTCTATGTCATGGCTATTGTAAATAGTGCTGCTATGAACATCAGGTGCACGTATCTTTTTGAATTAGAGTTCCCTCCAGATATATGCCCAGGAATGTGATGGCTAGATCATATGGTAAATCTATTTTTAGTTTTTTAAGGAATTTCTATACTGTTTTCCATAATGACTGCACTGAACTACATTCCCACCAACAGCGTAGGAGAGTTCCCTTTTTTCCATACCCTCTCCAGCATTTACCATTTATGGACTTTAATGATGGCCATCCTGACTGGTGTAAGGTAATACCTCACTGGAGTTTTGAGAATTGCTTATTTAGGTCTTCTGCTCATTTTTTGATTGGGTTGTTGTTGTTGTTGTTGTTGTTGTTGTTGCTGTTAAGCTGTATGAGCTGTCTGTACAGTCTGGAGATTAAGCCCTTGTCAGTTGCATCATTTGCAAATTTTTTTCCCATTCTATAGGTTGTCTTTTTGTTTTGTTTACAGTTTCCTTTGCTGTGCAAAAGCTTGTAAGTTTAATTAGGTCCCATTTGTTTATTTTGCTTTAATTTCTATTGCCTGGGTAGACTGCCCTGGGAGAACATTGCTAAGATTTATGAAAGAAAATGATTTGCCTATGTTTTCTTATAGGAGCTTTAATAGTGTTTTGTCTTCTGTTTAAGTCTTTAAGCCATTTTGAGTTTATTTTTGTGTATGGTGCGAGGGAATGTTCTAACTTCACTGATTTACATGCAGCTGTCCACTTCTCTCAACACCAATTGTTGAAGAGATTGTCTTTTCTCCATTGTATATTCTTGCCTTCTTTGTCGAAGATTAATTGACCATAAGTGTGTGAGTGTATTTCTGGGCCCTCTATTCTGTTCCATTGATCCATATGTCTGTTTTTGTGCCAATACCACGCTGTTTTGATTACTATAGCTCTGTAGTATTTTCTGAAGTCTGGGAGGGTTATTCCTCCAGCTTTGTTCTTTTCCTTCAGTACTGCTTTGTCAATTCTGGATCTTTTGTGACTCCACAGAAATTAGGATTATTTGTTCTAGTTCAGTGGAAAATGTCCTGGGTAATTTAATAGGGACTGCACTAAATATGTAGATTGCTTTGGGTACAGCCATTGCCATTGTAACAATATTGATTCTTCCAATTGTAACAATATTGATTCTTCCAATGCAAGAGCACGGGATATTATTTCATTTCTTTAAATCATCTTTACGTTCCTTAATCAATGTTTTGTAGTTTTCCACATACAAGTTTTTCACCTCCTTTGTCAGGTTTTATTCCTTTTTTTTTTCTAATGTGACTTTAAAAGGGATTTTTTTTTTACTTTCCATTTCTGATATTTCACTGTTAATGTAAATGTAAAGAAATGTAACTGATTTCTATATGTTAATCTTGTATCCTGCTACCTTATTGAATTCTTTTATCAGCTACTGAAGTAATTTTTTTAATCTTTATGTTAAACTTGTTTCCCTACCTTAAGTTTACTTTTATACATTTTTATTTAAAAAAAGGAAATAAATTTGTGATGTAAAAATAGTCTTTTTAAGGACAATGTATTCAATCACAGGTTGGCAAACTATGACCAAAGGGCCAAGTCTGGCCTGCCACCTGTTTCTGTAAATAAAGCTTTATTATAACAAAGTTATTCTCATTTTATTTGAGAGCAGTAGAATACAGCTGCTTTTGTGTTACTATCGCAGAGCTGAGTAATTGAAATAGAGTTCACATGGTCACATAGCCTTAAAATATTTACTATCTGGCCCTAACAGAAAACATTTGGTGGGGGAGGGTATAGCTCAGTGGTAGAGTGTGTGCTTAGCATGCATGAGGTCCTGGGTTCGATCTCCAGTACCTCCTTTAAAATAAATAAATATATAAACCTAATTACCTTCCCCCAAAACAAAAATTAATTAATTAATTAATTAAATGTTAAGAAAGGAAGGGAGGGAGGGAGAGAAAGAAAGAAAGAAGGAAAGAAAAGGAAACATTCACTGAACTGTGAATCAGATGAAAAACTTAAGAGATGGGGGTTCTGTCTTAAGCACCCTTGATCCATTCAGCACTGACACAGAGCCCTGGAGGTAACAAGTTCTCAATATAATTTCTAAATGAAAGAAAGAAGGGGATTCCCAGACCAGGATTCAGGAAGAATGAATCTGTCATAAATTTTCTCCAAGGAGCATTATACAAATGTATCTATCTCCCTTACTTGATTTTTATAAATTACATTTCCATGAATGCTTAAGTGGCTTTTCTTTTTAATTCCTGCAATAATTTTCCTTGTAAGCCAAGTCCCACATTTACCTTTTTCTCAAAGTAGGGATACACACACACACACATACAAGACAGAAGGTAAGTATATGCACGTATAAATCAGTAGCTATCTGTTACTGTGTATCTACTATATGATAATTGTTTTAAATCACTTCATTTACTCCTTTTACAACAATTTTATGGGGGTATCAGATCATCCTTATCTTATATAAACTCAAACAAAAGTTCTTTCTTAGGGCCATCTAGCTTTATTCTGCCCCAGTGTGTCATTTTCCTTGAAATAGTCTTCTTTTGGGGGGTTAGGGGGCCACAGGGAGGAGGCTAAATGGTTTACATTTTTGTTTGGAAACTAAATGTGACAAAGAGTTGTAATCTTTAAAAACCTAAGAAATGTCACAACCACCCCATGTGTTTCCATATCTTTAATGCGAAGACATTGGCAGCTTTTCACTGACTAATTCACTCAATAAATATTTATTGAGTGCCTACCATGTGCCAGGAACTATTCTAGGCACTAAGGACACAGTGGTTAAAAAGACAAAAGCCCCAGCCCTCATGAAGTTTGTTTTCATTATGATCATCAATTCACTGCAGGGCTTTTGCTTTTCCATTACAAATGATTCCCATAGGGTTACATTTTTCTTATGTCAAATTTATACTCTGAGTTATTTTCTTTTACTTTATTATCTGCATTACTATAGTGGTTACAAAAAAATAATAATTTGGTTTTCACTTAGATAATAATTCAGAAACCATTTAAATTTGTAGTGTTTAATCTCCAAATTAAAAAGAATTAAAATAAATTGTGAGATTAATTCTAAAAACTTAGTATACTTATAAATCACCACTTTCACAAAGGTGCTGAACTGATTTTGAAAGAATGCATTTTGAAGATTGATTGTTTCTTTACAAATTCTGCTAATTAAGTAAGTACACAAAAAAAATTCTATTGTTAAAGTTCTAATTATCTTTTCCCAGAATATTCTACAGAATCTCTGAAAAAGCAGTATTTCTGAATTACAAGACAGTTCAATTCCAATTGTATCTGCAGTACTTTTTCATCAATTCTCCTGGTATTGCATTTCACCCAAGGAAAACTGACTCTCCCTTCCCCTGCATCTCCACTATGACTAGTACAGATTCTCTTTCTAGATCTTACCTTTGAAATTCTCCCAAAGGTCAAACTATATGTAGGTTCTCTGGAAACATCACACTTTGTTCATACTGTTTGATTTAAGTATTGTATTATATATCTTTTTTCCCATTTTTATTGCAGCTTTATACACAATAGCCAAGATACAAAAAAACCTAAGTATCCACCAACAGATGAATGGTTAAAGAAGATGTGGTGTGTGTGTGTATATATATATATATAAAATGGAATATATACACATAATGGAATATTATTCAGCCATAAAAAGGAAATCCTGTCATTTGTAACAACATAGAACTTGAGGGTGTTATGCTGAGTGGAGTAAGTCAGATAGAAAGACAAACTATGATATCACTTACATACGGAATCTAAAAAAAGCAAACTCATAGAAACAGAGACTAGAATGACAGTTACTAGGGACTGAGTGGGTGGGGAAAAATGCAGAGGTGCTGCTCAAAGAGTACAAATTGCCAGTTATAAGAAATATAAGTTCTAAGGATCTAATACACAACATGGTGATTATAGTTAATACTGTATTATATACTTGAAAGTCGCTAAGATGATAGATCTTAAATGTTCTTACCACAAAAAAAGAAATGGTAATTATGAAAAGCAATTGAGGTGTTAGCTAATAATACAGCAATAATTATTTTGCAATATATAACTGCATCCAATCAATAAGTTGTACCCTTTAAATTTATACATTATCACGTCAATTATATCTCAATGAAGTTGGAAAAAAACTGAAATATACATATCTATGAGTGTGTGTATATATGCACTCATATATACACGTACTCCAAACTATTCTAAAACATTTTCTTTATTATGAAGTTAATAGGACTTCTATATTAATATCTGTTAAAATAATTACTTCAACTATTATAACATCTTGCTAAATGAATTAATACAGATAGTAAAGCTATAAAAAATGGCTTACAAAAGAAAGAAAAAGTTAAATGTTACTGAAGAAACATAAAATTTATACTAATAAATATTTTTAAGCTTAGGAAGATGAATATGAGGCTAACCTTTGTTGTAAGAACACACATTAAAAATGTATAAAATTACAAAAGCTATTAGCAAGGGTTAAGCGAAACAGAAAAACTATTGAAGGAAAAAAATACAGAATGAATCAGGGAGACTTGGTAATTTTTAGATTATAAACTAACAATACATCTGTTAATTTTAGAAGTGCCCATCAACCATAAAAAACAAGGTGGTAGACAGCACACATACCAAAAAACACAGCATTATTAACAAAAAAGACTATCAGATTTAAATTTGGTACAGATTTATGTCAAACTAACATAACTCTGAGACCAAAAATTTAGCAGAATCAGAGATAATTATATTACACAGCTAAGGATACTAGCAAAACAAAAACTGTACAATATATGAAACATGCTTCTTTTGCTGTTCAAGTCACTCCCAGGAGTGCAAACCTTCTCCAACAACAAAGCAATACTCTTCAAGCATTCAGGTTATTAGTATAACTTTTCTTTAGAAGTCTAACTTACCGAGTACCATCTGCTTTCCAGCTTACTTTATATGGCTTCTGCTCCAAAAGTTTAATATTTTGCTTGTCCATGGAAACAGGCTGTGCTCCAGGGAATCCAGACCTTAGAAAAGAACACTGTATTATTATTATGGCTGGTATCCATACAAAGCAATACATGTCTTAAACCAACCTCACATGAGTCAAACATTTATCACAATGTTCTCCCTACCGTGAGATTAATGTCACTTGGAATAATATCAGCTTTCACTGGAATGCTAACAAAAGGTTATCATTTTCTTGACATTTTACAAGGCAAGTTAACAAGATGCTAACTGCCACTACTATACTATGACTATTGGGCTATAATTTTTAAATGTTAGTCACATGATCTAAGTAGTAAAGCAGGTATGTCTACAAGTTTCTTACTTCAGGAAGAAGTTTAAATATTGCCTTATTATCTTACATTGCTCTAGACCCCATACTCCTCCATCACAACACTGCCAACTAAGCATAACTCCGCAGCGTTGGCAAGTCTCTGCTCAAAAGATGACCAGAAGTGACAAAACAAGAGAAATTTAGGTCAAGATTAAAGTACACTGGCAAGAGTTTAACAGAACACTGAAACTGATAATAATTCAACACCATTTTCATCTTTTGGTTAAAATTATTTCTAGCTGACTGATCTGCTTGTACCAGTCCAAAGATTTCTTTATACTAGTAATTTTTAACAATAACCTTGTTTCATCATGTTCCAGCTGTATTATAATCTTCTGTCACAGGCAGCAATGATCAATAGATGACCACAGACCAAGACTTGAGAACAACAGATAAGAGCAGTGAACTCTCTCCTGAATCCTCTCCCATGAAATGTCTGATAAATATCTTCAAGGCATGGTAAGGGGTAGAATATATTTATAGCTGATTCTCCCAGGTGTCTTATTACAGAAAAATTGGGAAATGAGACACATCCAAGTTTCGCCTCTTCTCCATTAATAAAATAAGGGTAACCGACATTAATCAGCAACAGTAGAATCAAACCCACAAAGTAAATACTAGACAGTGACAACAGTAATTTTCTATTCCTTTAGGAAGACGTGTGAGTCATCTAATTTTGGCTCAACTGTCTAGTTATTACACTGTTTATTTTGAGAAAAACCTAATAAATTCTTGCTTGATATCTTTTTAAGAACTTGATGTAAACACACAAACTTCAAGAAACAAAGAAGGTATATCACTGTTTGCATTAATGTTAAGTATTGCAGAGTAATAATAAGTTTTATTTAAAACTTTAAAATGTTTATTACCCTTCCCAGCCACAGAATTGATGACACTTCTGCTGTACTTCTCCTAACTTTGGTTGAGTTGTTACTTGCGTTACACCTTTAACAGTTACACCTTCCAAGAAAATAGCACCCTGAAAATTAAAGGAAAAGAAAAGTATATTAGAATTTAAATCCTTTCACAAAGACCAAACTGAGAGACAGATTCATCTATTTCCACAAATCTAAGCAAATATATACAACAAATGGTCTGCTACAGGAGGTTCTATAAACTCCCCTGGGATGGTACACTCATTTCCTTTATCCAGCATATGATTTTCAATGTATATATACAGCCCAGTGTCTATATCATGTTGTCAAACCATCCATAAGTATTACTCAGTAACTATAACATCAATTATAACTTACCTACCACTTACTCAGAGCCAGGAAAAGTATCTGGCATTTTACAGTTCCTCTAACCCTTATACCAATTCTGAAAAGTGGTAAAAACAGAATTTGAACTCAGGTCTATACTATACCATTCACCAATGATTATCCTTTGGGGAGGGGGAGAGAAGTTGTATGGCTTATGAAGTTTGGATTTTAAGGGGATAACACCTACAATATATATCTTTGTAAACTAAAATAAGAACGTAACAGTAGACAAAGTGGCTAAGCTACAATCATCAAATGTATCAACATAAAATTAAATATTACTCATCACTAAATTTTTAATCTAAATTCTTTAACTCAGAACTACATAAATTATCTTATTATATTTCATAGCAAGCATATATTTTTAAAATATCACAGAGAAGTGAAGCAGACAGAATTTATGTATCAAATAAATAAAGAACACCCCTGGAAATTTTAAAGACTGAAAAAAAATAGTCTAGATTCACACTAAAATTACTTTCAGACTCATAAGAGGGCTGGCATCAGTCTTAAGAAAAATCTATAAAACAACTCTAGCTATTATAATTAGGGAATAAAAAATATGGTCTGTAAGCTGCAATGATCAACCTTCTGGCAAAGATTTGACAACTGAACTACTTGGGAAGGGAAAAAAAAGAATGTAAGATTTAGCCCACATATATCCCTGTCAAATCTAGAAGAGTCTTGAGCTGATGCAGCAGACACTGGTCCTACCTTTTGCCCCTAATTCTGAATCATATTTTATAGTTATCAAAAATGCCATCTACTTTGTTTTCCTTAAATAGAGGTTCCATGGGCCAAAGGATCAAAGAGTATCATTCCTCTCCTATTACACTATCACCTCTCTTTACTAGCCAATGAAATTTCTGTTGTAGAACCATTTCTTTCATTAAATATAGTAACTAAAGAAAGAATTTTTAAAGGAAAGCTTAATCAATAACCAGATGGTTAAGATTTTTTTAACATACTTAGTTATTGAGATACTCAGATAACTTCAACATCCTGATAAAATTACATCTTGTATATACTAATTAAAAAGAGAAAGCATTCTAAAAGTTCAATATTCAGCACCTTTATATATTAATAGCATAGAATTTTTTTTAAGTTTTACATGAGGAAGGTATCTAACTTCACTTATGAGTATGTATTCCCTAAGCAAAGTCAAAACAATCAATGATAATTTCTGAAAAGCAAAGTTCAAATTAGTATAAGTTAATCCTAAAAACACAAACATTGCCTCCTTTTTTAAACAAATAGCAAAAAGGACAAAAGCAGAGGAATATGATCAACATTCAATCTAGTGTTTTCCTACAATATTACTACAGAAAAACTTTAATAGGTCTACACAGTTGAACAAGCTAAATATTTTTTAATTTAACAGAACAAATGAATATTGAGTCTCAGTATAGACTTAACAACTACTGAGTCTGCTTATAAAAACATAACTCCAGTCATCTAGCAAATGTCCATCATCCATTTATTTTTCTTCTTCCTGAGTTGTTCCTACACTGCACCAATTTCTTTCTCATTTTTAGTTTTCCCTATTTTTTTCTGCAATAATTATTGAGTAAAAAGAAAGATACAAGTAAGTCCAACAAAAACAGCAAGCATGATGTACTCCATGCACAAATAACATTCAGTAACTTTAACTCTGGGATAATGTAATTTGCTGTTTAATGTCATTATAAGTTTCTTCTGATGAAAATATAATTTTGCATTATTTAAAATGATGTAATAATTCCTAGAATGATCACTAATCCCAAATATAAACAGCAATGTCTTAAGTCTCGAACGATTTTCAAACATACAGTAGTTGAGCTTTAAAGTCATTGACATTTACTTTCACTTTTTAACAAATTACCACTTCAGTTTGTGGGAATTTTTTAAAAAAATCAAAAGTAAAAAGAAGATAATGTATACTTAAGATGAAAGACGTGTATTTCATAAACAGCCTTAAAATGGAAATTTGTATGGGTATCCCAAACAGGACAAAAGGAATGAATGATTGATCAGAGGGAAATGAGGAAATTACTACAGAAGATGGGGACCAATCTATACGTGAGAGAGAGGGGTGTGCACGTATAAAGAGAGTAAGTAAGTATGTATGTAATGTATAATAAAGACATGTTAGTAATGAAGAAAATTCATTAATAGACTTATTCAAAGAGATGATCCTAGATTAATCCATTCAAAGAAGCAAGTAGCAATACCTGTAAGTCATACTCTTTCAACTGGATAGCAGCATGTGCTCAAAAGATGAATAAAGGTGTCTTAGTACTATGAGGGCCAAGTATAGGACATGTACCACTGTTACAAACCCCAAAAGAACCATCAGAATTGACTACAAGAAGTACATTACTTCAAATCATAATCATATCAATATCAGGGTCAGGAAAGAGAAACTCTAACAAAAATAAATTCTCATACCAAAATAAGTTCATTGCGTTAAGAGCTGTGAGCTACAAAGAATTAATCACTCTTAGATTGCCTCCATTAACTACTAACTACCATCAACCTCAACTGAAACAAAAGGAAAATGAAAGCTTTCCAACCATGAATCTGCCAATTAACTACAGCTACACTTGTTATCCTCTCAACCATACTGCTGATATCACTCAAGTCAACCCTCCAGTCACCCTTCCTCTCTGATGGTCTTGTCCTCATTATTTTGGAGCCCCTTCTTGATTCATCTTTTCACTAACCACCCTCCCAAAGAGTTCCAATGTAAACCCTAGAATCTCTTTTTCATAAATAACCTTCCCTATAACCTCAACTTTTTTCATGAACACCTATACCCTGTGTCTTAACTAAAAGCTAGCTCTCCACCAAGAAGACCACTCACTTTTTAGGTGAAAGCTACTCATTCTCCCACTGCCCAAGTCCCATGGGGGTAATGTAAACAATTCCCTTATATCCTCACTGGTTTCCTGGCGTATTTCAAGAGCTCCTCTTCGATTTAGACCAAATCCATTCAGCTATATCACTCAGCTGTGGTAGGGCAGATATCCACTGTGGCTGGATTTCTTTCTTTAAGAGCTGCCTTTCCCATCCACAAAGACAGGACCCTAACAGCTATGTGATATGATATTAGAAGATAACATCCCAGCCCAGCCAAAGTTAATGGGAGCATGAGTGAACCCCTAACTCTATCTGAACCCATCAGGTTCTCTCTTCTGGTAACTTTGAATCTGCACTCAGAGAGTGAAAGTCTCTGCATGTGGCTAAAATTATAACATGTAAACTTAGAAGATGTAAGATAGTAAAATCTCCCAGGTAAACAAGCAATCAGCTATATTCCTGTGCTTGAGTTGCACTCATTTACTCATAATAAATCCCTCTTATTATTTAAGCTAGTTTGAGTTAGTTTCTGTTACTTACAACTAGATAATCTAAACTAGTAAAACACTCTATCCTTCATACATTGACCTCCAGTCATTTCTCCACATTCATCAAAAACAGTATTTCTCACCATGCTAACTTCTATCATTACATTGCTAACATGAACATCCATTGAGATAATTTGAGCCATCAAACAACCTAAGCTTCACAGTTAGGTAATTTCATTTTTGATGACCTGTATCTTTGCTTAACTTGAGCACACTGCTCCATGGTCACACCACCCTCATTCCAGACTGCTCCACCTTTTGATTCCTCAATTCAACCCACATTGATTGAGTACCCTCAACATTCTAAAACCAACCTGCCACTCTCACCTCTTTCATTAAATGGCTTAACTCTTTTACTCTCACTATGCTCACTTTGCAATTTCACCAAGACTAACAGCCCTTCACTCCCTTTTCAGTCAAACAGCTCCCCCACCGACCTTATTTCCTATTCAATCTAAATCCTACGGCTGATTACTTCCATTATTTTTCACCCGATACCCTTAGTACTTCTCACTGTCCTCTCCTTCCATCACACCCATACTAAATATACTCAGTCCTGTGTCAACTGGCCATTAATATTCCCCACCTCCATACAGAGACAGCTGAAATTTACTGAGGAAAAATCACAATCTCAGTGCTAAGGATGAGACTTCCCTCCTCTTGCTGAAGACCTATTTCTCTATCTGCTCTTAAACTCCATTTCCTCTCATCTCCTCAGAAACTGTTCTATCATTTATTTCCCAACCTTCATTTTCAACTTCATTGACTCCACTAGCTCCTTATCTACAAGTATTAATATGCTTGAGTTTATTCCATACCAAAAAGGATCTCTGACTATGTCAGCAGCAAGTTATCACTCTTAAGTCACCCTTTTTGATCATAACCAAATTATTCAAGTAGTCTGTACCAGTGTGCAGAAAAGAGTTAACATAAAAGGACTGCTTGCAAGGTTGGCCCCTGGGTGGCATCTGGGAACACAACTCTCAGTGTTCTCAGTCAACTAATAAGGCTGGTTGACCATGCCAAAACTATCTGAACAAATGCTTTCCTTCTGGGATTCTGGAATTTTGGTACATGCTAGGCACAAGCTGCTTGCATGACCAACCATGAATTAAAACCTTGGGCACTGAGACTCTACTGAGCTTCCACAGACAGAAACATCACACATACGCCACTGCATTTCCACCACTGTGGGAAGAGTGAGCTCTGTACAACCCCTCATGTTAGGAGAGTGCATAAGGAAGCCTGCACATGGACTCCTCTAAACTCCACTTGTCTTTCTCCCTTATGATCCAGCTGGATATCCTTAGCACATTGCGGCATTAAATCTAGGCTGTGAGTACAACTATACGCTGAGTCCTTCTAGCAAATCTCCAGAAGCAGAAGTGGTACGAAGGACCCCTAACACAACTGTGTCCTTTTGTCACCTCCTGTTAGCTTCTCAAAATCACTAGTCTGACCTGGCACAACTGCACCACAGAAAATAATCCTCAGGTGAACACTTCCAGTCCTTCTTGTATTTGTCCACTCTGTGAGTTTTCATATTTATTAAGTCATTCACATAAATCACTACAGAACTCTAAACTATTTCTCCTATTTCTTTGTCCTTTTATGCTACATCCAGAAAGAACTTATTAGCTAGATCTTCTGGCTTGATAATCTCTTCCACAGCTAACCTCAGTCTGCTATCCAACCCATCTACTGACTTTTTTTTTTTTAATCATCATTTCCAAGGTCTCTAACTGGTTCTTCTTCATAATAGCTTGCCATTATTTTATAGATTGATGACAGCCTCTCTTATCTTCTAAAGAAATGTTCTGTTTGCTTTTTATAAACTGTTCCCTCTGGTGCTAGCTAAAAAGAATAAGGTAGTTCTATATGTACTAAAAAAAAAGATAACCAAGTGGAAAAAAAAAAGCCAAAGAAAAATACATTTATGTTAAAAAGGGGTGGGGGGAACAAGATCAAAGCTGAATATATGTATGCAAATGCATAGCAAAATTAGTATCTAGAAGGATCACCAAAAAGTAAAGAGCAGATGGAGTTGGAATGAAGGGCTAACTGCACTTCTTACCCTATATACTTCCAGGTGTTCACATTTTTATTTTACAAAGAAAACTGATCTTTATGTTACTTGTGTACACTTTTCAAGTAAAGAGATAAACAGGTAGGTAAATGGGGAAAAGTTGTTTTAAGATGACAAAATGCCAACGGTAGGATGAAAGTTAAAGTGTTAATTAGTTTTCACACTTTATTTAATGTTAAGTATATTATTTTATAAATTAAAAAGATAACAATTTTAGCATCTACTAATTATGATTTAAAGAGAGGAAAAATGCGTAAGGCTTTAGAATTTTCTTTTTTCATAACTCTGCCTTTGGAAGTATAAGCACAAATATTCTTGAAAATCAACATTTCCTCATTGTCAGAAATCAAACCTAACCGCTTTCTCCAAAAACAGAGAAGAGAAGCTTTCTGCTTTTGGCAATGGCAGACCAGCTTAACAAGACTGATTCTATAGCCATGAGAAAATGCTAGACAAAATGTTAACAGTACCTGTTTGAAGACACTGGAGAATTAAAAAGGCAGTAAGGATTTGAAGGGCCAAGAACTGAGAGAGAAGGGAAGCCCAGAGAGCTTAGCTGGACATCTGGTGTAGCTTCTCTCCTCTAGGATTTTCCTCTACAGACACTGTTTCAAAAATGATAGCTGAGAGGCTAAGAAACTGAACAGAGCTTTCAGCAATTTTCATAGAAATGGAAAAACAAAAACTGTAATTCCAGGCCACCAAGGAGGAAGGGTCTTGCTTAATTAATTGTCCAGGCTTTCAGTGAGAATTCCTAAAGGGGCATAATGAACTAGGATGAACGAAAAACAGAGCAGCCTCCCAAAACCAAAGCCTAGCTTCTAAAAAGTTCAATTCTTAACTGAGTTAAGATGTTCTATCACTAATCCTGTGTAGGAAGAAAAGAAAATCTTCTCTGAAGGAAGACAACAGGATGCAGAGCTTTACATTATTTCCACAATTTTTCATACATAGTGTCTAGTGAGCAGAAATATCCATATATGGGGAGGGAAAAAATCTACAATTGACTAGAAATCAAAAGGGCACAAGAAAAACTAAAAAAAAGGCCCAGAGGATATCTACATATTAGAGTTTTACAGTTATCTGACATAGGCTTTAGAATAGGCTTAATAAATTCAAAAACCTAAATGACAAGATGTAGAATTCCAGCAGAGAACTGAATGCTATTTTAAAACTCAAACTGAAATTCCATAAGGAAGGTGAAATAACTGAAATTAAATGCTCAATGGATGAATTTAATAGCAGCTTAGACAAAGCTAAAGACAGAATGAACACACTGGAAGATAGGTTCAGAAGAAAATATCCAGACTGAAAAATAGAAGAATAAAAAAATACAGAAAAGAACACAGGAGTTTTTTTTAATAATAAAGTTTAAAAGGTCTCTTAGGTTAAGTCTCAGAGGGAGAAAGGAGAAGTAATGGATCTAAAACAATATTTGAAGAGAAAATGGCTAAGAAATGTTTACGACTGGGGAAAAAAAAAATCCAACCACGGATTCAAGAATCACTATTAATAGAAAGCAGGATAAATACGAAGAAAAGCACAGGTAGAAACATCACAGTAAAACTGCTGAAAATCAAAAACAATAACCTTCAAAGAAGCAACTTCTCAACAGAAATGAATTACAGAATAATATCTTCAACACACCAACCCAGAATTCTAGAATCTGGGTTTTGAAGAACAAATATTCTTAAAAATGACAGGAAAAACAAAGACATTTTCACACAAATATTGAGAAAATGTGTCACAGCAGACCCACATTAAACAAAACACAGAGGAGAGCTCTTCAGTTAAAAGGAAAACTATGCAAGTAGAACTACAAAAACAAATGAACAGCAGAAAGGATAAATACGTGGGTGTATCTAATAAACTGTAACTGTATTAAGTAATAATGATGATGATGATGTTTTATGGGATTTAAAATATAGAGAGAATTAAAATAAGCAATACCAAAAGGGCAAGAAAAGGTTAATGGATTCAAAGTTTCTAAGATTTCCGCACTGTCTAAAATACAGCAAAAGAACTAACATTTACCAGACTTTAACAGTCAAAAATGCATACTGAAATGTTGGGTAACCACTAAAAAAAACAGGAAAGGAAAGTATAACAAGCAATAGGATGGGGTGAGAGAACAGTTAACAATTAAGCATAAAGAAGGCAAGAAAGGAAGATAAAAACGATCATACCACAAGTGGGATAAACAAACAAAAAAGACAGTAAGTTTAAATATAATTACATCAGTAAAATAAATATACACAGACTAAATACTCCAATAAGGCAAAAACTGTTGACTAGGTAAATAAAGCCAAAAACATGATGCTCATAAGAGATATACCTTAAATAAAAGATTAATAAAGAGTGAAAGTAAAAGGACAGAAAAAAGATATTCCATACAAACACCATCCAAAAGAACACCTGTAACATCCTACTAATATCAGATATTTTACAATGCTAAAAGTTAAAAGACACTGTAAAGATAAAATCATCATTTACACATATTTGTATAAACCAAGTAACACCTCAAAATACATAAAGCAAAATCTGATAGAACTATAAAGAGAAATAGGCAAATCCACAATCATAGTGGGGAATTTTTAAACACTCCTCTTTGTAACTGACAAAATACAACAGGGGAAACAAGGTTTGCGATTTTATTTTATATGTCATTTACTCCCCTAAAGAAACATGCCCATCTTGGCTATTTTTCTCTTAATGCTACTGGAGCTCATTTGCAACTAGAGGGATTTATTGGCACCTGATATTTTAAAATAAATGTCCTTTTTAAATAAATTTTAAAATAAATGTCTGCTGGCAAAGAAAAACAAACCCTGCAAACTGGACCCCATTTTGTAAAATAGTAACTCTTTCTTTTAAACTCCTATACACAATGAAATATGAGATCATAATTCAAAAACATATTAAACATGTGCTCATGATTAATGTTATTCTTAAACAATATAGCTGAATTCTCTCTCAAAAATGATATAAAGTAATCATCTATATGTTACATCATGCTATTAGACTTTCTTTAGGATGTGATTCTTATTTTTCTAGGTAGGTAATTCCAAAATTTCAGACATTTAAATTCAGAAAATAATGAGTTAGACTAAAAAAATAAGTTATTTTTGAAATTATTTTCATGTTTCAAAGCAGTTAACCCCTCTCAGTGGTCGTACAGTCTTGAAGTCTGAAATATGTAAACACATATTAAAACAATGCTTTTCAAACTAGAGACGTTTTTTAAGCCCAAAATAACTGTATTTTATGATTTATATAAAACAAGGCATTTTCTTCCTTGCTTGAATCAATGTCTATTAATAAATGAGTCATGGTGTTTACTCCTCAATCATGATATCCCACACACCTTAATTATTAACTTTATTAACACTTAATTACCTCCCTACACTTTCCCTAACTCTCCCCTTTGGCCTACACCGTATACTTGCGAATGTACAAGTATAACCAGCATTTTTCTTCTCAAAATCGCTCCTAGTCTCCCAAGAAAAGGAGATAACACCTAATGTTTTTTGTTAGGCCCTTTATTTCTAGAAGTGTAAGAAGAACTGGCTATAGAAAAAATCAGAATCTTCTGAGCTCAACTTTACAGAAAATTATGAAAATACCACCCATGGAAAGGAGCAGAATTTATATGCAAAGTTAAACTATGAGGCAATTTTGCAAAGCATTAGTAAAAACTTTCACTCAGTATTTAATTGGAATTTCATGATATTTTGCAAAGAAAACAGTAAATTCTCACTCTACCATCTAAGAGTTCTTTGATTTACTTAAAGGGGAAAAAAAAACCCAGGATGAATTTACATAAGTGAAACTTTTCTTGTAGAAAAGGCAAAGATCCATGGCTATCAAGAATCTTTAGAAATAACCAGAATGAAATAACCTTACAAATCTAGCGAAACAAACATAGTCAACATTCCATCTGCATAAATCTCAAGAGACCTGTAGAAGAAAAAGGAAAAGACTATAATAATATTTTTAAACATTACCAGTTTTAACCGTTCTTTTCTCCTTTTGCCAAAGGAGGCACTTGACCCAGGTTCTGATTCCTTTTTTCCATCTTCATCCTCATCTTCATCTTCATCATCCTCAAAACACCAATCTGGCAATAGAGGTGGGGGTGGTGCTTCCTCTATATCACCATAGCGACGAAAAAGTTCTTTCAAATAATCACCCTTATAAATTCCTGGTGGTCTGGCTTGAGCAAAAGTAGCAACTGCTGCTTCAATACTATGGAAAATAAACACCATGCAATTTCCTCACTACTCTCCATTTATGCAGATTTATCAAAATTCACTTATTATATTTAAGGCACCATACAAAGCACAATAGAGGTTTTATAAAATGGACAAATCACGGTCCCCCACTCTCAAGCCATTCAATTTATTAAAAGATAAATTCATTCTGCAAGTGTTACTATAATGTACACTGATACTTCCTAAACTCTAGAGGTAAACTGTAATGAGTGTACAGACAAGATGTGGGGAGAGTCTGTGAAGAATTTAAGTAAAGCCTTGAAGGTTGAGGTCTGATGCTAAGCAAAAACATCAGTCGAAGAACGTGAACAGCAATTTGAAAAAAAAAAGGAAAGAAAAGCATGCTTGTTCTTCAGGAACTTTCAACAGACCCAAGCAATAAGAGCAAGTCATTTGAGAAAGGCTAAGCACAGACTGAGTCTGACAGGAGTCTGGGGTTATTGTGCAGAGCATCTGTAGGCCAGAAAGGCAGAGCTAGAAGCTGATTATATTCAGAGAAGGACCTACTGCATGAAAGGCTCTGTAAACAAAAATAACGATGATCCTAAAAGTAAATGAGGAAATTCAGTTAGTGATATCCCATTCTCTCAGGTATTTCGGGTAACTAAGGTTCTAATCTCTGAGAATCTAAAAAGGCATTTCACAAACAGGTGCTCATAAAGACATGCTGATCGGTTTAAAAAGAGTAACTCTGTCCCCAAAAATACCTTTTCCACATAGCATTTAAGTTTTTGCTAGTACTCAACAGCTATTAAAAAAGGAAATACTAAAAATGAAAAGAAATACAAGAGTAACCTCCAGGGTGAAAACATACACAAACTATAGGGAGAATTTGTCTCTGGTAATTCTGTAAGATGTGAAAAAAAAAAATCTGGAAAAGAAAACACATCCTATATGCGATCCACAAGCACTCAAAAAGTGCTACTTAGTACAAAATGAATGGTAACGAATGGTATTCTAAAGATTAACCAAATCTAAAATGAAAACCACTGCAAATCATGTTAATCATGACTTCACCAAAAACGTGGCAATATAAAATGCTAAAACTGAAAACAATCAATAAAGAAGTTTATTAGTTACTAAATATCAATCACTAAATACAAGAAACAAATACCTCCAATCCATTTTCTCCACCAAAAAGGCACATATGAGGAAACCAGTACGATTGAAACCATGGGTACAATGAACACCTAGAAAATAAAGCAGTTTTGATTTAAAATTAATAAATCACTTCAGAGGCCACATTTCACTTTAAAATTCCAATGTGTACTCAAAATACTTCAACCATTTTACAAAATAACTACATTTTTAAAACTTGGCCCTCTCATAACTATTAAACTTGTCAGTTTAAGTTGCAAGCATAACGTATAGCACTAGCTAGAAGTTTAAATATAATAAATATATTCATACTTATAATATTATATATTAATAAATATACTGTCATACATTTATAAATATAATAAATATATTAAATATTATATACTGATTTATATGCAATTAACTGATTGACAGTTATATATAAGGTCTAAAGTTTTATCTTAAAACTAAAAGATTCCAAGCACTTAAATAAGGAGGTATTTCATCAAACACACAACTCTAAAGGACGGACACACACACACACACACACATTCAGGACAACTGACCAGATACAGAAAATAACTGATGGATACATAGCACAATAAAAATAAAACTACTTTAAAGTTCTCTAGAGACCAACAGACTGAAAGTCACTATTTGTTTAAGAGTGCAGAGGGGGGACTCCAGATTGCAATGCAGTGAATGAGAATAAATGAATTCAAGTCTCACTCTTTTAGAAAGCTAGGAAGGGGAAAGAGAAATATAAAACAGAAAGAAACATGTGGGGTTTTAGGGGGCCAGTTTGGGGGAGGTATAGTTTAATATGAAAGGCTTAGATACACTTATAGGCTGAGAGGACCTGGTTAAATTACGAGATCGAAAGTAATAAAGAACAAGGCTATAACTGGACAAAGTTTCTGAAGAGAAGAGATAAAAAATAAAGAGACAAGCCTTGAACAGAAAAAGATAACCTTAGAAATAAATTGCTATAATCATGAAAACTCTATAAATTCAGCATCTCCATTGCTTCATAAGAAAAAGTGACTCAAAAGTACTCAAAGATGTCAGCTGTAAACAGACTTTTTTACTCAACATGTATTTTTTATAAATTTTATTTATTCTTACTATTATTTTTTTGATGGAGGTGCTAGGGATTGAACCCAGGACCTCATGCATGCTAAGGATGCGCTCTACACTGAGCTGTACCCTCCCCTTCTAACATGTATATTAACCAACATGTAAATTTCCTGTCTACTTTATTTCAGACCAGTTTGAGACAAATATTCCAACTTTAGATATGTTTCTCACCTACACCACTACTATTTTTGCATCCAATTTTTACTCTAGTAAAATTAACTAAATATTTAATGAATAGGAACTGTAAGAATGCCAGTTAAGTGATTAAGTCATGTGATGATACATAATTTAAGAAAGTACCAATGTTCTTTTAATACTCATTGTTATGTAAATACATAAAGTTTTACCTTATTGTTATCTTACACTTCAAAACATTACTAGATGACTGGATTCTTTTTTCTCATAAAACCATTTTAAAATTTACTTATATGTACTGTTCATTGTTTCTAAGAACAGTTAAGAGCTTTAGCTTTTTAGCCTTACATAATTATCAAAGGAATAAAACCAACCACAAAATAAGAATCAACAGAATGCAGTAATCCAATCATAAAGGACAGAGATGACCAGATTTTTTAAGTGAGATAAGGGTTAAGTAAGATAGATTACAGACACCTGCATTAAAATAAATTCTACAAAAAAATTTGGAAGATTATGGATTTGATGTTAAAAAATGCCATAAATAAATATACCATAAGCCAAGTCTGATACAACTTCAATGTTTAAAACACAAAAAAGCTTTTTGTTTTCGGTTTTCCTCAGTTCATTGTGAGAATGAGTCCATCTAGTGGCAAGTAAAGCACAGTTTATAACTAAAGATTAGCTCACTCTTAACTATCTCAAGTCTCTTCTCATTTAAATTTGTCTTCATTTTCTAGGTAGGGTAATATAATGAAATAAACTTATACATTTCAAAAAATATTAACATCAACCTACATATTAAGGGAAAACTATAGCTCTTTTAAAATCAAATCAAGAGAGGAAACAATTTCCCCAACAAAAGAAGAGAAAGATGAGCTATAACTATAAAAATACACATGCTAGAATATAAGTATAAATTAAGAAAGGTGACTTCATATAGGGCTGGTGGCAACATATCTTTTTAAATAAAGCCTGATCTCAATATACACAATTTCCTTTCTATCTCACTAGTCAGACAAATTAATTTTTAGAATCAAAAAATGTATCTGACCGAACTAAATAAATGGTTCTTGACTGGGGGGATTTTGCCTGCCCCATCCCCAGAAGATATCTGGCAATGTCAGGAGACATTTATAACTGTCACTATAGGTGGGGTGCCACTAACATCTAATGGGTAGGGGCCAAGAATGCTATTAAACATCCTACAATGCACAGGAGAGTCCCCCAAAATAAAGAATTATCCGATTCACAATGTCAGCAGTGCTGGGTCGAGACAGCCCCTGGTCTAAATGAGAAAAAAAAAGTAAGAACAGAAAAAGGAAACAATTATTAAGAACTTACTATGTGTCAAGTTATCTTAAATATTTTCATTTAATCAAAAGCAATGTTTTTTACCAAAATAAACATGTATTACTCACGAAAATACATACTCACAAATCTGTCTCATGTATTTATAACTAGAAAAACCTAGAGTAGTTAGAAGCATTAGTTATGTACCTATTACAGTCTATCATTTTACCAAGAAATCAGCCATTTCTCTTTTAACACAAAACAGATTTGTTCATTTCTCCAGTCCACAAAATTCTTATCCTCAAAACAGTCATATCTGTACAAGCAAACAAACGTACTATATAGATCTATAATCTCTTATTTGTAATCATAATTTCAAAAAAGCTCTTAAAAATTAAGATTTTTGGTAGATCATCTGGGGACAAAACCTGACCTGAACTGATGCGATGTTATTTATACTCTATTTTTCTCACTGAGTGTGAATGAATATTCATATATTTAACTGCAGAAATGTTACTGTGTTTAATTATGGAATGCTCTCTACACCCAGATTATCTCTAAATACTATTTTCCACTAAAACGAACCAGGGTCCTTAGAGAAATAACTAATTCCAAGTTTGGAAAACATGTTGTACCGGGACCACGAGCTTGCCTCTCCTCGCGACAACGAAACCACAACTGACTGCTAAATAACCATCGAAAAAAAGACTGGAACCAACAAAAAAGATCTTCAACTGGAAACATAAAGAGGGAACCACAGCAGGACAATAGAAGGGGTGTGCTCATGATATAATCAGGCTCCATATCCATTCCCCACCCCAGGTGGGCGACCCACAAGCTGAAGGATAATTAAGTCGCAGAGGCCCTCGCACAGGAGCCCCATGTCAGGCTCCCCAGCTTGGGTTCTGGCATTGGGAGAAGAAAGAGACCCCAGCACATCTGGTTCTGAAGGCCAGCGGGGCTTAGCTCCAGGAGCCCCACAGGACTGAGGGAAACAGAGACTTCATTCTCTTGGGAAGCGTGCACAATCTCACATGCGCCAGGTCCAAGAGCAGACACAGTAATTCCACAGGAACCTGGGCCAGACCTGCCTGCTGGTTTTGGAAGGTCTCCAGGGGATGTAGGGGATGGCTGTGGATCACCCAGGGGACATAAAAGCTGGTGGTGGACACTCCAGGAGTGTTCATCTACATGAGCTTTCCTGGAGGCTGACATCTTGATTGGATCATTAGTACCAAGACCTAGCCCCACCCAACAGCCTGTAGGGAAGCCTCAGGACAAACAACATACTGAGTGGGAACACAGTCCCATCCATCAGCAGACTTCCTAAGCCACAAAGCCTCTAGACACGGCCCTTATCCACAGAGCTCCCCCTGCCAGGAAACCTGCATAAGCCTCCAGTCCAGCCTCATCCATAGGGTGCAGATACCAGAAATTAGAAAGTAACAATCCCAAAGCCTGTGAAAGGAATCCATAAACACAGGCCAGACTCTACACTCGGACAGCTGGACCCTGGCACTTACATGACAAAAAAGGAGTGTACTGCTGGGATGTATAGCATATCTTCCACAAGAGGACAACTCTCCAAGGTCAAGAAACATAACGAACCTACCTAAACACACAAATAGAAAGACAGACAATACGAGGCAGCAGAGGAATATCTCCCAGACCAAGGCACAAGATAAAATCCCAGAAAAAGGAATAAGTGATGAGATAGGCAATTTATCCGAGAAAGAGTTTAAAGTAATGATGGCAAAGATGTTCAGAGAACTCAAGAGGTGCATCGATGCACAGAGTGAAGTTTTTAGCAAAGAGTTAGAATATATAAAGAATATCCAAACAGAATTGAAGAATAAAATCACTGAAATGAATAACACACTAGATGGAACCAAGAATAGACTAAATGAGGCAGAAGAACAGATCAGTGAGCTAGAAGCCAGATTAGTGGAAATCAGAACAGAAGGAAAAAGAATGAAAAGAAATGAGGATAGTTTAAGAGAACTCTGGGACAACATGAAGCACACTAATATTCGCATTATAGGGATCCCAGAAAGAGAAGAGAGAGAAAGGATCTGAGAAAAATTTTGGAGAGATAATAACCATAAACATCCCTAACCTGGAAAAGGAAACAATCACCCAAGTCCAGGAAGCACAGAGAGTTCCACACAGGATCAACCCAAAGAGGAACATACTGAGGCACGCAATAACTTATAACCAAGAATACTCTATCCAGCAAGGCAAGGCTCTTATTCAGATTTGATGGAGAAATCAAAAGCTTCACAGATAAACAAAAGCTGAAAGAATTCAGCACCACCAAATTAGCTTTACAACAAATGTTAAAGGAACTTCTCTAGTCATCAAACCATAAGAAAAGAGAACAAAAAGAAGAAAGAGAAAAAAAAATAAACCTACAAAAGATTGCTTTGGTGGTTCAGGGTCTTTTATGGTTCCATATAAATTTTGGAATTGTTTGTTCCAGTTCTGTGAAAAATGTTGTAAATATTTTGGCAGGGGTTGCACTGGATATGTAGATTGCTTTGGGTAGTGT